CACCCCTCTGCTCAGAGGTGTGTATTGAGGGGGTCAGAATCCCACAGTCTAAAGCTGAAAAAATTTTGGTTTAGAAGGAATGGTTGCCAGGCTCCTAATGAAAAAGAAAAGATGGCAGCAGATGGAGACCTTCCTTTCAGTTCTCGCTGTTGACCTGGCAGAGCCAGGAGGGAGGTGGAGGTGAGGAAGAGGGGAGCAGAGAGGAGCTCATTTCCCTTCTCCACCTGTCAGCATCTTCCCAGAGCCACCAGCTCTGGCTGCACAGCTCCCAGCAGGCTCCGGCTGCACACACTCTGCTGCTGCTGGTAGAAAAATTCAGGGCATTTTCCAGGTTGCGTTTAAATATCCTCAAGACCACAAGGTGTTTGGGGTTTTTTTATGAGGAAGATCTCATTCCTTTTTGAACTCATGATTCTCTAGAGAACTGCTTCAGGTGGAAAAAGCTGATCTTATCTATTCCCCTATCATTCAGCTATTGCTACTGAATCAAACCATTAATACAGCCTGAGGCTCTGGTGTGCACCTGCTCAGAAATGAAGCAGACAACAGATCATCGTAGCAAGAGTTCAGGAAGGGATTTTGTCCACAGGAGAATCCTAAGAGAGAATGGATACATGGAAAGAAGGAAAAGCAAATGTATTGTTCATGTTTTAAAAATAGCTATCAAAGTGTTCTATAACTTAGATTTCAAAGTTTTTCAAAGAGTCTTTGAGTCCTCCTCTTAATATTGCCACCTGGACAGTTCCCAGACATTTTAGCTAGCTTTTTCATGCATTTATCTTAAGTTTTCGGTGCGGTTACTCTGATCACAGCTGCCCACACACAACCAGCATTCTTTTGTAATAAAAGCAGAGAAAGATTGTTTATTTATTAGGTTTTTTGTTTCTTTATTTTGAAAAGAGTGGCAAGCTCATCCCCTACCAGTGTTAAAACAACATAAATGAGGCTAGAGCAAAGGAAAACTCAGCCATTAAAAGGCTGAAAGGGAAGTTTTCAGCAAAAAGGTTCTTCAAAATATCTCAGAGAGCAGCTGAATAATCATCCGCAACATCTCTAGGTCACTCACACACTGAATTTCTGAAAAAAAAAGTCATGTCCTTAATATTAGCATTTCAGTTCCTCAGTCTCCAAAGGTGGGGGACCACAGAGCCATTCCTCTCCTCAAATAATTTTTCCCTGCGTGACTTCTGTCCAGCCTCTCACTATCCCAGCTTCTCTGGACCCTAACAGCAAATTCTGCTCACAGCAGATTTAATGTGGACTGCATGTTGCTGGCTATTTAGTTGACTGCAGCTATAATTAGACAGCTGACAAAGACTGGCTGGTTGTGTACTCTTTTTTTTTTTTGTGATTACATAGCATAGTTGGTCTATGCACAAGACAAAAGATGATTTTTCTTCTTTGTCACTCCCCAAACTCCTCAAGGGAGTTGATAAGAGTACTGGCTGCTTTCTGCCACTTACCTCACTACTAGCAAGAGGACATTGTCATCATTTCTAAGCCAATAAGTGTGTTGAAGTGAAATGTAAAGGAATTCAATCTGTCTCCTGCCTACACCAGCACTTTTCCTTCTTTTTACAGAAATCCTGGGGGATTTTTTGGGGGGGGGGTGGAGGATGGGGTAGGGGGAGGGGGGGAAAATAAACCAATATTTTAATCTTTAAATGCTATGCTTCTTTTTTCATGAAAATAGTTGGTTGAACTGCATCTCCCAGTGCACTGTGATGTCCTCACACAGCAAAGGGAAGCAGTGCAAGGTGGCAATTCTGTGACTACATCAGTAGTCACAGTCCATATCAGAAAGTGTGGACATGAAGATGGCCTGACATAGAACTTTCTAACAACATTTTTCACCTGAAATATTTCTTGGATTTACTCAAATCTTTCCATTTTTTCATGCAGAAGACTCAATCTTCCCATGAAATAAGAGCCTTTTAAGGAAAGACTCAATGAAAATGTTTTTAAACATGATGTGCTAGTAGAACATTTGTTAGTTTATTAAAATAAACATATTATCTTCAGTAATCACTCACAGTAAAAGCCTAGACTCAAGTCAAGCCAGAACATATATTTTGAGTGAGAAGATGCCATTTCCAAGATACTTACTTTTCTAATCATAGATCAGGACCCTACTAGCAACAGTAAAACTATCTGTAAAAGTACATAGAGCCATTCTTCATCTCCAGTTCACTGAGATGAGCAAGCAGCATATTATTACCAAGATAAATGGGTAAAAAAAATCCTGAAAAATAAAGACTGATTAAAAAAAAAATCAAGGAAAGGCTTTTGATCCCTAGTCTGTGAAATCTCTCAGTGAAGGCAATGGAAATTATACTTGTGATAGGACGTGGTTTCTACCCTACCAAAAAAGGCCATAAACACAGAAAAGTTAGGTGACAGATACTGGCACTCCTCACAATCTGACTTTGCTGTGGATAACACCACATCTCTCCAACCAGAACCTGTCCAGAAAAAGATGGAAGGACTCTTGTCTCCCAAGAGAAGCAGAAAACTCCTGTAAGTTTCACACTGAAACATGTAGAATGGAAATGTAGCTCCTCTGTGGACACTGGCCAGCAATGGCACTGCTAGCACTATGTTTTATTTCATGTCATCAGAGAGGCAATGCAGGAATGGAAGTAAAGCCCACAAGGCTGCAAGAAAAGCTCCATCATATCTATATTGTGACCAACCCAACTCCAGCTGCTACACATTTTCTATCAGGTTGCTTCTAGCAAGCAAACAGCAGAAAGCAAATTATTCATTTTAGCAGCTACCACCATTTTCTACCTTTCTTCTTCTGTCAAGAATGCACTGGCTATTGCTTAGATAGTACATGAACAGCTTTCCCACAGTCTCTCCTGCTTCCTTCCACTGTTCCATAATTCAGCACAGCACCTTGTAACGCTCAGAAATTATACCTTAGGGTATCATTTCTATCACCTTCCCAGTCCCCCCCAACAGCTGCCCCCACTGCCTTTTGTGCAGACCCCCTCACAAGTCAAGCGGGTTGGTAAAAATAGTTCTCCCTGTCTGCCCCACTTCTGATTCATGGTCCACTTAGGTAACGTCTCTTTCAGCTACATGGAATGGCTGGGGCCTCCTGGACCCCAGGGACATTACATCCTCATAAATAAGGAGATTTATTTACAGATATAAATCAAGACACAACGTTTAGACCATGCTACAGGGAAACAGTAAAATCCAAGGAGAAGGAAAGAAGAATAATCAAAAGTCGAGGATTCTGGCCAAATTCTTCCTAAAATAGCTCTTCCAAGACATAGTGAACATTGTATCAAACTCACACAGGATCTTTGCTTCTTCATGACTCATTTCACTTGAGCTGGAGAGTAACAATTTCCTCCCTAGCCACCGACTCACATGGCTAAGACTAGGCAGATAGAGCTCAACCTGTTGTGATTGATCAGGCCCCTCTTCAGGGTAAATGATGCATTTCATCAAACACTACTGTACATCAAGATCAGTATCCAGAAAATCGTGTTCTTTAACACACACTGACCCCCTGCACACCCACACACACCCCTGCACACCCAGCCCGGTGGTCAGGTCATCACCTGCTAGTGTTAACATGCACACAAGCAATTACAGAGCAGACATCTGTTCAGGATGTTGCTCACTGGATCAGCATCTTCGCACTGAGATGACTGCAAGCCTTTGAAAGCCTTTGAAGCATTTATGTTCTGACTCTGTGCTGTCTACTAGTGCAGCATGGTTTGTCTGTAAACGTCCCTCTTGCTGGCACAGCATCCACTGGTGTGAATTGCCCTGGTTCTGGTTCAGAGCTAAAGCAATGATGCTAATGGGGAAAAGCCAGCCTGGTGCAGACAAGATGAATCCCACTTCTTTCAGTTGTCACTAAGTGGGAATTATGGAGTCCTGGCTGGAAGAAGATTTTGCAGATTTTCCTATAAACAATAAATAAAGTGTCAGTATCATGTTCTGTTGGACAAGATAGGCACCATCTCAGAGAAATCCAATAATTATTTGGAAATTAAAAACAAAACACAGGTCTGTTACAGGGTCTCATGTCAATTATATTAAAGTTTTAAAATGTTCCTCAGAATGAATGCCAAAGCAAAGTTTGAGTTTTCACTGTTATTTCTGAATACAGACTGACGCAACTCCTTTGAGGGCATTGTTAATATCTTGAGATTGTCCTCGAAGGTAATTAAAAATTAAACTGGACAGTGGTTGCCAAGAGGTGGTAAATGCCCTTGCCAAGTCCCTGGTCCTCTGTCCTGGCATGTTGGTAGCAGAGGAGCACAGCCCTGGCCATGACACTGCAGAGGTCATCGTGCCCCAACTTCTGTGGCTCTACACCATCACACAAGTGCCAATTCTTTCTGTGCCCATCAGGTATAAAAAAAAAAAAAAAAAGCAACAATATATTTGAAATACATGTGAGCTAGACTTTTTCTGGATTTCATCACATCTGACCTCAGGTGATCATGAATAACCCATGGGTATCTCAGCATCTTCATATGTTCAGCCTAATGGCCCTTTCTCTTGTGGGCTGAGAGCCAGGCAGAGCAGTGGGATTTTCAGGATGGGCTAAGCCACATGTTGAACTTGGACCCCTTCTCTGTACCACTGCCACTAAATGTTGCAAATAAAAGGAGATTAATTGGGAGGAAGAGAGTATGAGAGAGAGTGAAAGAGAGAGAACAAGCACTCTTATCTAATACAGACACAACAAAATTTAAGGCTGCACAGCTGTCTAATATTGCCCACACCAGGAGCTGGAGCCCACACACTGGAGCTGGACACAGCAGTAGCTGCATCTCCCTGCTGCACAGCCCCAGTGCCACAGCCACAGCACTTCAGTGCCAGGCAGGAGAGCAGCACACGTGGCACCCACAGGGGAACCCACTCATCCCCACGCCACCATGGGGACCAGGCTGATCCCAAGTTCTTGGAGGCATTGAGCTCACAATGGACAGTGCCATTAGACTTGTGTTTGCTCCATGCTGAGGTGGAGGTGAAGTAGGGAGCCAGTGCCAGGGCACCTGAGCTGGCTGCCACAGGGGACCTGGGCTCTTGTTCACATTCTATGCCTGTGCTATATTCATGTCCTGAGCGGGTATTCCACACCTCCCCACCCTGGACATGGTGCTATACTGTTACCCTGAGCAGGTATTCCACACCTCCCCACCCTGGACATGGTGCTATACTGTTACCCTGAGCAGGTATTCCACACCTCCCCACCCTGGACATGGTGCTGTACTGTTACCCTGAGCACGTTTTCCATGCCTCCTCTCCCTGGACATGGTGCTATACTGTTACCCTGAGCACGTTTTCCATGCCTCCTCTCCCTGGACATGGTGCAGCAGCGGCTGAGCTCGCTGGGCTGCCGTGGAGCTGGGAGCAGGGCGGGAGCAGGAGGGATGGCTGACACTTCATTCAGTGATTGCAGCCCTCCTCCAAGGCTCAGACTTTGAAACAAGACATTGGCAGGACTGCTTAGAGAAATGATTTCATCTGTGTATGAATTAAGCCAAAGAACACAGTACTTGTCCCTTTGGTGTTTATTTTAAAATAATTATTACATGTTCCCTTTTCTTTCAGGAACATTAAACACAATGCTGCACATGATTTTGTTCAGGAGGGCTGCAGATGGCTGCGATGGGGGAAAGTCAGTGGCAAGTACTGACATATGCACTGTGGCAAGTACTCAAAAATGAACTCCTCATTCCCTTCAGCCTGAGGAATGCTGAATTCTGATACCATTTGGGGGGAAATGAAGATCAATAATAGCTAGCAGATTTATTTAGTTGTTGATTTTTCAAGTGCTGGGCTGCCAGTCCTGTTGTATTTCTACTCTTTAAATTGAGAGCAGACCTTTGCAACCAAGTGCCAGCATTTGGTAGCAAGAAAGGCTTTCCTCAAGCAGCTGTCCTCTGAAAAACATGCTGTGGTTTGAAAAATGTGGTTGCAAAATGTGGACAATGTGCACAGGAGTTATTAATGTTTGCAAGAAAATGTGCTGCTTCATCTCCATTATGGTCATTAACCTCAGCTGTGGTTTTGCAAGCAAAGAATTCTGCACTCATTCTCAGAGATGAAATTTGGATTTCAGAAGCAGAGACACAGGTAGTTCCTATAATTCCTCTCCAGCTATAACACGAACATATATGGACACTGGAAAAATACTTCCCTTTATCTTAATGGACCTAGTACACAGACTTCAGAAGGAATTTAAATCAGGGGTTTAATGTCAGATGTTTCATATGGACCATATTTCTCACAGTGAAAAGGGAATATATTTTTTTAATTTTTTTTTTTAAAGGGAGACAATACACTGTCCAGGAAAACAAAGCAAGCCAGCCAGCTCTATGACCATTTGACTGGGAGACAGCTCCAGAGTCATTCCAGTACTGGCAGTACAGCTAAGCCAGAGTTCTCCTATAAGCCAGATGACACACTTGGAAAAATATATTCCAGAGCTTGTTATCCAGCCCCTGCACCTGCCAAACTTGCCCATATGGGACCACAGGGGTTGGCTCAGCCCAAGGAGGAAATAGATGGGAAAAGAGAGAAGAGTATCAATATCTCAAGCAGTGAATATCATCAAGTTAGTGCTGAAGTTGCTACAAGTCAATTTCCAATGAAGAGAGTGCTTTTAGAGACATGTATGGGCAGATATTTAAAAGCCCAACATATAAAATGTAAATCCAGCTTGAGATGCTCCATTTTCACACATGTATGAACACAATAGTTGTCAAAGGTGGGTGGGCACAGGTGATGGAAAGCACAGCTTTGGTGGCAGAGGGCCTCTTTTGGGCAATTGACCATTAAGCAATGACTCCCCAAGCACTGGTAGCATAAGTCTCCTCACAGTGGTGTGAACAGGCCAATGTATTCACCCCAAATTCCAAGCTGTTCCTGTCTGGGAGTTGTATCTCTGTGCTAGTGTAGCAGGGTGCCCAAATGAACTACCACACTGGAAAGCAGAGAGCACTGCAATATTAGCAATATTAGCAATATTAGCAATATTAGCAATATTAGCAATATTAGCAATATTAGCATGGCTGTGTGGCTTCTGGAGCCATGACCAAAGGGGCTGAAGGCTCTAAGAGATATGGAGATGTAACCAGGGAGGAATTTGTTTAGCACCTGCACAGGTCTGATCTTTCTTCCAGGAGAGTGAACGAAAGCAGAGTTGTCCTTGACTAAGTGCAACATACCTGAGTTTCAGTTCCAAATGGCCCCAGGCTCTGGCTGCAGATGAGTCAAATCCTGAGCAGCACACAGATCAGCACTATATTTGTCATTGGGAAAAAGCATGGGAATTCCAGCAAAAGCCCAGCGCTTGAACAGGAACAGCATCTCTTACATTGCCAGCTCAAGCCATCCAAAAGTTGCAGACAGGTTCCCATACTCATGAACTTGTCTTTAGCTAAAAATCACACTGCAATATATGATTTTAATAACATGTTAGGGGTTGATTGTATTTGATGTCTAGGGTTTTTTTTAACCACTGGGGTCTACTTCCAACCACTTCCACAACAGGAAGGCTCAGAATATGTTATTTTATGCTATTTTTCAAATGAAAGCTGAGGTTCTTATGTAGTCATCTTAACTCCAGGAGCTATGTTTTTTAAGGCACACACCAAATGTCAAGGGACTCACAATAAAATCTCAAGAATTGGCAAGATTGCTTTGCTGGCTTTGGGGAATGAGCAGGTTGTTGTTGGAGCCACACATTAGAGGGAGACACACTCACATGTTCTTAACCAGTGAACTGTGCACTGAGGTATAGTGGCAATTCGCCCAGCACTGACATACAGCAACAAGAACAGGATGCACAAAATTCCCAGGCCTCTTAAACTAATGGAGAAGCTTTGTTAGTTTCACTAACAAGGGAACCAATGACATAACCTGTCATAAACATGTTGGGACCATTATGTGCACAGACATGAGATATATTTAAACTATAAAAACCCATTTAATAACCAAAAAGACAGCTGCGTAATCTGCACATTGCACTCACAAAAAGGAAATAAAAGTAAAATGAACTGGAACATGTGTGTCTGGAGAGAAAAGGGGTGAGAAAGGCCTGGAGACTGCTCAGAGGACTCAAGGACCTGCTTTAGCAGCAAAGCACTGCTATCCTCCATTCTCTCTTGTTCTGTACAAACCCTATTTTTACAGGGGTTTTTGATTGTTTTTTAGATAGAATTGCACATACACTAACAATGGGACAATTTTCACATATGGGGAGCAAGCTGGGAGGAGAACTTTGTCTCTTCTCTATTGACAGCGTAAAAGAAATGTGTACTCATCTCAGTGTCCAAATTATCTGGGTACCAGCACTTGAGATCAAGACAAAGTCAAAAGAATGTAGAGAACTAGTCCTTAATTTTCTTACATTGAAGTGCAAACACTGAGGCACAATATGTCAGAAAAAAAAGGACCTGCTCCTTCATCTATCTCTGCCTTTTTTCTTAAAGGCTTTGTAGATTTACATGCAACAGGAAAACTGACTCAAACGTGTTTAACTAGGACTATGCTCACAACCTTTTTGGGGTATGGAGGTTTTTATAAATCATATTACTTATGTTTTGCCATTTCTATGAAGGACAGGTTTACCTCTATAATAACTCACTGAGGTTTTGTCAGGATCAATTTACATTTGTCAGATGCTCTGCAGTCTTCAAACAAAAGCCATAAAAAACAGCACTGCACTAGTATTTCATCTTTTTAAAGGCTATGATTTATGGACTATAGAATGGGAAGAAGAGGCAGTGGAGGGGTGTATTTTTCTCCCAGCTGCAAACACTGATCTTCTCCAGAGAGGAACCAATGCACAGAATTCAGCAACATGTATCCCTAATACCAAAATAGAGATCAAAAAACCCCTCAGAGGTGCCTAAATGTCTGTATCTAATTTATGGGTAATTTACAATGGAAATAGATGATTTAAAAATGTATACAAATTGTATCCTTGCACATCAGGGCAGATAGATAGCTTAACTACAAAATAATGAACATTAAACGTCTCTTGTGAGCTGCCAGGTAGACATTTTGATTGCCCAGATTTCGTTAAACTCAAACCAGAGAGAGGTTGAAGTCTTCCAAACATTCTTTAACTCTATCAAGTGTGTCGGTGCTCTACAGCCGATGACAATATATTTCACCAGAGTTGCCAAAAAATTGTTTAATTTTAAGCGATGCCTGTGTTGCATTACTTTTACAAGTTAAGCCAGTGTGTAGGGCATGATCAGCTCCACAGAAGACTAAAGCCATTGCCAATGTTTTCTTTACATCCATAAAACCAATTTCACACAGGCATTCCTTAACCAAGGAGAAAGACAACAAAAACAACAATAGAACCCCTGTCATGTCCTTGTCTCCTCTAGCCTTCCAGTCAGCATTGCTTTTCCCAACTTTGCCAATCAGACTCAAGCGAGTGAAGAGTTACAGAGAATATCTGTGCTGCCAAGAGCTATTTCCAGTGGACTTTGATCAAATGATGCTGTAATCCCTAATGGGAAGCATACTTCATTTATAAGGTATTCTTTGGTGTCATTCCCAAGGAGCAGGCATACGGGTTTTTGAGCAGCAAAGCTCTTTCCCTACAGAAAGTCTTTGCAAGGGCAGCACTGCCATGTCCAGTGCAGGTGTCCAGCCCTGCCCAGGCCAGTGGGATTTTGGTCTTTTGGTACAGTCTGAAAAGGCCGAGGGGGTCAGAGGCAAGCCGTAGCTCTGGAATTCCCTCAGCCACAGACCTATACCCAGCAGCAGCGACGAGCTCACAGCAGTGCGCTCCGATTTTATCTTTCCCCGCAACGAACACGACGGCAGGCTGTTCTGACATTTGCACTTTCATGCAACTGTGTTGAACTTAAGATACTTGGGTTGCTCAGAGCAGTATTTTATTTTCCCTGAAGACCAAGGACAATTAGCTCACATTTTAACAAAGAAGCAATTAAAGTGCACGACATTCATGAAAATGATTTATCGTGCTATTAAATTAGGATGAAAATCATCAAAGTTCATAATAGCCAAAGAAAAACAAATATAAATTATCTTCATGCTCAGTTTGTACCCCGATGCTTATCAGCCTGAAACACTTGTATCTATTCTCTAGTGCTGCTGTGCAACTTTTGCAATTGTATCTCACTGTTTGGAAAATGTACCGTTTTCATTCTGTGCTGTATTGCAGCCCTTTAAATTGAAGAGGCATAAATAGCCCTATCTGTTTAAAATTTCCTCAAAAAATAGATTAGGCTTATAGAGTTAATGGCATTTTGGGCATCCCGGGCAACCCTGCTGGAGTCAGGTGTATCACTGAACACAAGGAGGGCCCCTTGCCACCCAAAATCCACTGTTTCTTCCATCTATCCATTTGTTCATGCATTTACAAAAAAGTCTGCTCTCATAACCAATAAAAAATACATTATTCTTTATGCGCCTTCACTTTTTTGTTAGGTTTTTTCACTGTTTTTACATTCAAAGAAAAAAAAATTAAGATGCTTTTACTGAAATGGCAGTTTCAAACCCATACATTTTGCTCCCATTTTCTTCCCTAGCATATTTGGATACTGTATAGGTATCTCTTTATTATGAGATAAATATGTTGATAACTCCTCAAGAAAAAAAAGAAGCAATAATATGCTCCAGTGGTAGCAATATAGAACCAGAGTGGAGTCTTTTGGCTATCTTCGTATCTGTGATACTAAGAAAAAAAGCTGTCTGTGCCTTGTTAGTTAAATTACAACATATTAACTCTTTCATAGGACTTTTGTTTGAAAAAACATTTGCGC